ATATATATATATAGCACTGAAGTGGTGTTTATATTTTATTAATTGTTAAATATTGTATAAAAGTAATTGTTGTGTATATGTTAATGTATATTAAAAAAACTATAATTTGTGAAAACCTTTAGGAAACTATTAAAATGCTATCAAATGTTACATAATTTTTATTTAGTTTTATAGAAGTTCTTTTTCCATATGAGAATTTTTATTCAATAATATTTCTTCAGATGTCCTTTTTTCCATAATGGGATTCCTGTCACACTTTCATTTCATAATATCACATTTCATGGCAGCATTGTTGTCTCCACACTCAGCTTTCAGCCAGTCACACCCTCCCGCCCCTTAAGCCAGCAACTCACCTACTGCTATCAGGTTAGCCATTTAACTCTTGTTAGCTAGAGGAACAACGATGCTTAAAGCTCAGTGAGCAGTACACTACCACAAAATAAAATTTCTTTATTTAGTTTGACTAGGTTGTATGTTGCCTTCTGACTAGAGGTAGCGGGGAGCTTGGTGTATTACTCAGCATGAAAGTGAAGAACTAGGGTTTTGTTGCTTTTTAATTCTAAAAATGTTCTCGGAGAGGGAGAGCTCTGAAGAACAAAGTGTTTTTATGTGGTTACTGAAGCCAGCAGGAGCTAGCTAACAGCGCTAAAACTGGCTCCTCACTTTGATGCTGAATAATAGGCTACTTCAAGCTTACTGTGTCTGTGTAGTGTGCCTTTTAACAGTGGCTGGCAGCTACTTGGTTGATACCAGTTTACTGTACCATTACTGTTGCTTTAGCTAAAAACCACTGATCTTGTAGCAGTTATTGTGCTTGCTAGTTTAAGAGATGGGAGACATATGATTGGCTAAAAGGGGAATTTGGAATTAATTTGGAAACTATATACAATAGAAAAACAAATTAAAGAAAATTAAGATGTCATTCAATAAAACAACTTCAGTAAGAATAATGAAATAATTTTTCATTGTAAGGAGTTTTAATAATTTCCTAAACTACTTTACAAAATACATTTCTTTCATTTTTTTTTTATACTGAGCACAAGTTTACAAGTATGTAACAATGTTGCTGGGTCATTGCTTAGCATCTGCAGGTTAGGGTGCAACACTACCTCTGGCAAAATGAGAGACAGCTTTTCTGAGTTGGCTTTGTTAATCCTTCTCAACTGTAATTCAGCCCTCGAGCCGAAATTTACTTTAATCTTTGTAATCTGTTGTAGTCTCTAAAACAATGTTCTCTGTTATTGTATTGGATTTTGCAACCAGTGTTCTTTGTTACTCAGTTCCTGAGCTAAACTAAGGTTGGGCTTCCTGTAACACAATAAGTAAAGAAGATTGACTGGA